CCTATTCCGGGCCTCTCGGCTGGAGCCGGCTGCTGAGCTGTGCTAATCGCCGCCGGGATCTCTGCGCCCCCCAGGGCCAGGGGAGGTAAATTTAGCTTCAGGAAGCTCCGGGGAACATTTTCCAAAACTCCACGTCCCAGAGAAGGCGAAACAGAACCCCTCTGCGCTCAGCCTCCCTCCGGCGAGCCACTAGGGGGCGCAGACCTCCGGATCCTGAACCCAGCCTGCTAGGAGTTAGGGTCGCTGCTTTAATCCTGGGGTAGGTAAAGCGTAGAGACGCGTGCGCTCTGGAAAGTTACTGGGTGCCGTACTAGTCATTGGCAGGAGATATGGGTATGCTCTGAGGCCTCCAAATGTGCAGTCTGAGAACCACTGAAAAAGGGAGTGGGGACTTATGTGTGTTGAGAGGGAAATAACACATGTAAACGAAATGCAAATAAGAGCCTAGGCCCTTGGGGTCTGCACTACAGGGCGCCAGCAATGTTTGCCACACCTCTCTTTTCTTTTCTTTTTTTTTTTTTTGATTTTATTTTTTGGTACCCGGGATTGAACTCAAGGACATTCAACCATCCCCAGCCCTATTTTGTATTTTATTTAGAGACAGGATCTCACTGAGTTGCTTAGCGCATCTGGCTTTGAACAGATCCTCCTGCCTCAGCCTCCCCAGCCGCTTGGATTATAGGCGTGTGTATTTTTTTTTTTTTTTAAAAGTACTGGTGATTGAACAGAGCCACGTCCCTAGCCCTATTTATTTGTTTGTTTGCTTATTGAGACAGGGTCTCACTAAATTGCTTAGGGCCTCGTTAAATTGCTGAGGCTATTGTTTTGTTTTTGATACTGAGGATTGAACTCAGGGGCACTTAATCACTGAGCCACATCCCCAACCCCTCTTTTGTATTTCATTTACAGACAAGAGTCTTCCCGAGTTGCTTAGTGCCTTGCTAAGTTGCTGAATCTGGCTTTGAACTCGCGATATTCCTGAAGTTGGACTTGAGCTTGCAGTCCTCCTGCCTCAGCCTCCCAAGTTGCTGGGATTACATGCATGCAAATCCCTCCTTTTCTGCATGCTTCCTGGTGTAGTTGGGAAAAGGTGGAGCCCCCCCCCCCCATCATTACTATGATATCCAGTGTATTAAGTGCCCCTACCCAGACCTCTTGGTGGTGACCACTCTTCCCTGCTTGCTTCTCATTTCACCATTGAGGACTATCTATCCGATGTAATCTGCAGGGAATCCTGGATTACAGGCTTCTTGTTTTTCTGTGGTACTTGGGGGGGTCAGTGCCTATTCATCCCTCTTGTCTCTTCCCTCCTTCCCCACCGGTTCCCCAACCCCTGTGGGCACCAAGAGGCGGATGCAATCTTACCCACCCCTCCCTATGGCATCCTGCTCCTTGCACACCCTGTTCCCATCTCAGTTCCTGGGGTGGTAGTTGGCATGCTCAGAACCTGAGTTGCTCTATTTGGGGGAGAGAACACTGTGGAGAACTGGAGCATTTCTTTTTCCCTTCTAGAAGAATGGAAAGATCTGTCCTGGGTGAATTAGGTGAAAAGGTGGTTGTTGGGATGCCCCACTGAGCTCACAAGCCAAGATCCAGAGGAGTCAAGAGGAGTTCAGGGTTGAGGTGGGAAGCAGGTGCAAACTGGGGGTGGGGGGCGGGCAGCCTACACTGGCTTGCCTGGCTTGGCCTCCCAGGAGACTTGGCCATCATCCACACCAACCCCAGCTCAGAAGAGGTGGACAGGCTGATGAGGAGGAGCCCTAAATTTGTTTTTATTTATTTATTTACTTACTTATCTATGTTTTGAGGACAGGAATCTCACCATGTTGACAAGGCTGGTCTCCAAATACTGGGCTCAAGAAATCCTCCTACTTCAGCCTGGTGACTAACAGGGACTCCAGGTGTCTACCACTGCACTTGACTAGCCCTGAATTTGAGATCTAAAAATCTGGGTTCACTAAATGATTGTTCTGCAGAATGCTGTCTGACCTCCACTTCTGGGCTAGTTTTTCCCATGGGATAATTATCCTTGTCATGCCATATATATCTTTTTAAATTGTGGTTTGGGGTCGAACTCCAGCATGTTTTACCACTAAGCTATATCTACAAACCTTTTTCCTTTTCTTTCTTCTCCTTTCTTCTTCTTTGGTACCAGGGATTGAACCTAGTGGCACTTAACCACTGAGCCACATCCCCAACACTTTTATTTTTAATTTGAGTCAGGGTCTCACTAAGTTGCTGAGGCTGACCTCAAACTTTGTGATCCTCCTGCCTCAGCCTCCTGACTGGGTGGAGGCTGAAGCACGATGATCACAAGTTCAAAGCCAGCCTCAGCAACTGATCGAGGCTCTAAGCATTTTAGTGAGATTCTATCTCAAAATGACAAATAAAAAGGGCTGGGGTTGTACCTCCATGGTTAAGCTCCCCTGGGTTCAATCCCTAGTACCAAATA